TCCTATTCTCGCAAGAGCTATCGAGAGAACGTGACTTTCTTGAAAGCTTTCCCTTGTCAACGAGCGACCACTGATCGCCGTAAATCAAAATGTCTTCACTTTTCTCTCCTCTTCTTTTTTTCCGGCGGTGTTCTATACCAGCAGCAGCCAGAACTTGCGCTTGTCGTGTCTGTTCTCCTTATGCTCCTTCTTGCCCTCAGTGCAGGAGCCAACTTAGACCAAGCTGCGGTATAAACGATCCGATCCGACGATTTGTTTACATCCTGCGAGCCTCGGCGAGAAGAGAAAGCGGCTCCCAGGGCTTTTCGCTGACTGCCTCTCGCACTGTTGTGGTCGCTCGCTCGTGTAGGTTCGCCGTAAACACCGCGCGGCCGCGCAGCGTCTAAGTTTGGCCTCCATGAAGGCGGCTTTGTAATCTCTCCCCCGCCCCTCCCAGTAACTCCACGGGCGGACCAGATTGTCCCGTGCCGTCTTTCCACATTTCAGGGTCGTTATACGCACCCGCAGGAGTTCCCACCGTATCGCCGAGGCGCGCCACAGCTCGCGTCTAGATTCTAATCTGCGCTGCACTGCGTGCGCCGATCGAGTGCCTCGATGCCAGCCACTGTTTACAATTTCGGTTGTGTGCCCAGGCTTTCCCTTTCTTTCTTTCTTTCTTACCTTTCTTTCTCGCTTTCTTTCTTTCCTTTTCTTTCCTTTCCTTCTTCTTTCTTTCACTATTTCTCTCTTTCCATTGTTTTCAGCTACACTAATGCGGTTCCTGCAGCGTGTGTGCTGTTACATGATCTAATGAAGCGGTGATGTCTTAATGGCGCGTTTTCGGGAGTGGCCATAGTGATAACGGTGATAATTTACTAGATGAACTCGTGCCTTGCGTATTTTAACGAAGGTGTTTTGTGTGTGTGTGTCTGTGATGTCTGCTCGCGTGCAGAGTAGGAGGTTCGGAGAAAGATGGACAAGGGCGACAGCTGCACCATGGTTGCGCTACTGCGTTTCTCGCAGAGTGAACGCGCATCGTAAGCTTTCGTAAAGAGCAGACGAAGACGAAAGGACAGAAGCTCGACGAAGACGAGCGCTGGCTTCGGTACTTTCATCTGTGTCTACACTGCAAGCAAACTTACAATGAAATACCGAATAACCCGTACTCAAACCTTGTACAACATGCGCAGTCCGGCAAGCCTAATGAAAAGTTGGCGTTCGTTCAGCTGTTATTGGTCTGGAACCTGGCGTGATTCATGGAACCCATAAGATATTTCTCGCAGCCCATTAGCTAAGAAATGTGCCAACTTCCTTGTTTATGCTTTACTTTAGTTTTAGTACCGCAACACGAGATCTGGTCTGTCAGACTACAGTGCAACGCGTGTAGAGAAGGAGCTCGGCAGATCCCACGTACCTCGAGAATCGACGTGATGCGAAGCATGCGAACGGAAGGCGACCATGCATATTGTGACTTCTTTATTAAGCGACACGTCATGAAAGGACGCTAAATATGTGAGTAAATATTCAACGCACAGACAGAAGTTGGAGAGTTGCAGATTCATATATAAACAGTTGTTTACACTTGGACAACGATGCGCCAACAAGAACGCGAGTGTTAGCAACACCAGAAGTGTTAAGCTGATATGAAGCGCCGATGCTCACGAGGATGGTGTCCCTGGACACTGCTACATAAATCAACTGCAGCGCGTGGCGCCTAACTACGATTGATGTTAATCCGACGTGACGGCTGTATTATAGGAGTACGTATGTAATGTTTATAAAATTAGGTAGCCACCACTGCGATCGCAATTGAAGTTTCACGAGCTTTAGGGTATACTTGAAAAGTAGTTCCGAGACCTAACGTGGCTCTGTGCTAGAATGCTTGATGGCCTACGCAGAATGCTTGGATTCGATTCCTACTAAAACCCTGACATTTATTCTTTAAGTTCGTCGGGTTAACGCTGCCGATGCCAGGTTTCTATTAACGCTCCCGCTTTAAAATTGCCCACATGTGTTCTCGTTGTTCCTGGGTAGATACTAAGTGCGAGTCACCTGTGGCAGATATTAGCGGCACATGCACGCCCGCGGGTATGTGCCATTGTTTGGCGGGAAGTGTTTGCCGACGTACGCTACGAGGATTGTGACATATTCATGTCTTGACCAGCGCGTCCTATTCATCAAACCATCTTACCCTCCCATGCAAATTCAAGCCAAATTTGGTTCAAGCCAAATTGAAGGTTGATTACGAGAGCACTCAGACTTAAGCGGCTAGACAGACAGACAGACAGACAGACAGACAGACAGACAGACAGACAGACAGACAGACAGACAGACAGATAGACAGATAGATAGATAGATAGATAGATAGATAGATAGATAGATAGATAGATAGATAGATAGATAGATAGATAGATAGATAGATAGATAGATAGATAGATAGATAACAAAAGTGCTTGCAGTACGCTAAGAAATGATTGGAGTTAAAAAAAGAAATCGGTATGATAGCGATATTTGATCAATGTCATGTTTTGGTTCTCGAAACAATAAACAAAATTTGCACACACCGATTTTCTTCCAAATACAAAAATTTTGCGACGAATCTAGGCATATTTGTGTAAAAGCGGAAGTTACGTTGACAATCTCAACCAATTCAGTTGTCCCGCACGGGCGACTTCTCCGGTGTATGTGACGGTATTGTGACAAAGCTTCACAGCTGCACTGTTGCTTAAAGCGCGCTTTCTGAAAGTACGGCTGGTACTGCGGCAAAGTAAAGTGTGGGATTGGGCTAGTTGGTAATGCATTATTGAACTTCTCAGCGCAAAAACTTCAGACAAGTAACACAAAAGACGAGGACGAGCGCAGTCATCGTCTTTTGTGTTACTTGTCGGAAGTTTTTGCGCTGAGAAGTTCAATACTGCGGCAAAGTCGCCGTATCAGTCATGCCTCCGCATTCCCACATCCTTCCCCTCTGTCTCTTTTTTCAACCATCTCTCGGAACTATATTATAAATAAATAAATAAATGAATAAATGAATAAATAAATAAATGTGGGTGAGTCGCTTAGTCTGCGCAAATTGCATTGTTTTTTACTAGTGCGCGCACATGGTCTAGTGTTAATGGTATTCGACTGACGACCCGAAGTTCGCGGGATCGAATTCTGGCTGGGGCCACCGCATGTTCGATGGAGCATTGATTGATATGTGGGGTTTAACGTCCCAAAACCACCATATGATTATGAGAGACGCCGTAGTGGAGGGCTCCGGAAATTTCGACCACCTGGGGTTCTTTAACGTGCACCCAAATCTGAGCACACGGGCCTACAACATTTCCGCCTCCATCGGAAATGCAGCCGCCGCAGCCGGGATTTGAACCCGCGACCTGCGGGTCAGCAGCTGAGTACCTTAGCCACTAGACCACCGCGGCGGGGCAAAGTGTTCGATGGAGCAGAAGATGATATAAGCTCGTGTACTTATATTTTAGGTGCGCGTTCTAGAACCCCACGTGGGTCAAATTGCTGGACCCCATCACTATGGCGTCCCTAAGAAACATATCGTTCTTTTAGGAGGAAATCGCAGCAATCATCGTATTAACGCGACAGCGTTAAAGAGTTCGTTTGGCAGACATTCCGGTGTCGGCAGCAGCGGCGTCATTTGTTGTGAGCGAAAAATCATCTTGTGCGTGATTGAAAAAAAAATCGAGAGAGATTTGAATAAAATAAATCATGAAAAAATTCTGGATCTGAGAGTGAGGACTGAACTCGGGTCGCTTGGGTGGCAAGCTGGTGTTCTACCACAGAGCCTTGCGTCTGCTTGGACATACCGTGAGAATAACTTTCTCTTCTTGGAAAGTCGGTGGAAATAGCTCTTACGCTTTACAAACGCACGCGTCCTGTGTTCATGCTTTGCAATGCCACATGTAACAATATTGCAGTAAAAATGCGTGCGTACATTGCGATCGGGCGTTAGAGCATGTGATTATCATGACTTCACGGCTTAAAGCCGGCCACACACTACAAAAAGCACACACGTTACCGCGCCTTTTCCCTTGAGGCCACGTGGCGGGTTTACAGCAAGCTAGAAAAGATTTCACGCGGAGAATTGCCCGTGGTTTAAAGCTTGCTACCCATTACACAGAATGCAACCGCATGCGAAAGCTTCACCGACACTAGCCATTTTGAAACAAATACGCACTATAAGGACAGGATATCGCTGTGGCGTTAAACTTTTAAAGGCGTAGTATAAGGATCCCCCTGTTTTTTTTTTTTTTAACGACGGTAGTCTTTCCTGGGGTGCTTGGACGCAAAAATTTTGGTCTGTTTGTCCACCGTAACGATACCCCAAAGGCACCAAGCGATACTCCAAACGGCCAACCTCATCCGCAGCGCCCAACCAATATTGCCGAAGTTTCAGCGTTCATGCTTATGCGATTGTCAATTAAAAAGCAATTATTGCGCTTATCTGAGGCGCCATAACAAAGCGTCAATATTTTGTATGTGTGGCTTTATACTAGAGAAGGCACACGTATGTAATTATAAGGACCGTAGCGTTTTGTCACGCTGCACTGACAGTGCAACGCGATGCTCAAAAAGACAAGTGTTTCCAAAGTTTTCCTAGTTTTGCTAAGACGACACGATGACGGGACCTGCGTTCTACACCTCATCGCCTCCAAGACAGGCGGGCATCTTTCTCCGTGGGCGCGCACGCCTTCTTTCGTTTTCAGATGTAACTGCCAGATAGCGCTCGTGTCTAACGTGTCTCGATGCCCTCGTTCGCCTTTCGCTGCACGGATCGAGACTCTCTAACGCAGCGCTTCCAGAATACTAATTAAGCGATTCTCTCGCGCAGAACATCAAATAAACGTTTTGTTCACTCTCTCCGCACTCAAGACTAATCGTCTTTCGACGACATTTGAAGTGAAACATGCAGATACGGAGCCAATTTTTTCATTGAAGTATTCGCGCAACTGTGACGTGACACAAACTTGACCGATGGCCTCTTGCCTTCCTTTTTTTCATGGCTGCAGCTCGGAGTGACGCGCAGTGGCCCAGTGGCTCCCTCCGGCGGCAGCGCCACGTCCTCCCGGTCCGGTGACGGCCGCAGCGGTGCAAGCAGCGGAAGCTACGCCGACACCGTGCGGCTCCTGTACAGCGCCAGGGACGCCCGCGAAGCTAGGATACGGGAACCCCGCGTCACGCCCGTTCTCTCGCAAGGTATCGCATATTGCGCACTCGAATCGACTGCTATGTGCACATCAACTAGACGGTAAAAGTGTTTAATAGCCCCGCCGCGGTGGTCTAGTGGCTAAGTATACTCGGATGCTGACCCACAGGTCGAGGGATCGAATCCCGCCTGCGGCCGCTGCATTTTCAATGAAGGCGCAAATGTTGTAGGCCAGTGTGCTCAGATTTGGGTGCACGTTAAAGAACCCCAGGTGGTCGAAATTTCCGGAGCCCTCCACTAAGGCGTCTCTCGTAATCATATGGTGGTTCGGGGACGTTAAAACCTCACATGTCAATCAAAAGTGTTTAATGTGGGGCAAAAGCCTTAATAATAATTTTGAAGTTTAACGTCCTAAAACCACTGTATGATTATAGCAGATGCTGAGGCCTCAGGGCAATTCGACCACCTGAGGTTCTTTAACGTGCACCTAAATCTGAGCACACGGGCCCCAAGCATTTTCGCCTTCATCGAAAATGCGGTCGCCGCGGCCGAGATGCGATCCCGCGACCTGCAGGTCAGCAGCCGAGTGCCTTAGCCACTATAGAAACCGGACGAGGCGGATGGGGCTAAAACCCTAGATATCTCATTACGGGAAAAATGCATTGTCCGGAGTTGACAACACGAACAACACCAGGCGTGCACAGCATGAACAGTACCAAATTACGTCGTATGGCGTCATCACATGGCATCCAATGATCGTCTCTCGGTCACAGGTACGCTGATCTCGCATGCGGAAAGCAGAAGGGTATAGGGATAAACAATGCAATCAATCGAGGCACGTCCAAAAAATTTAACGAGTGTCTCTTCAAAACTTAATTATCTTGTGCTCTCCTTAGTATTGTTTAGAGGGGCACACGATTTCGTTTCGTAATCCTTCCCTTTATGTGGTTATTACCACAACACACACACACACACACGCATGCACACACAAACACACACACACACACGCACGCACACACGCACACACACACACACACACACACACACACACACACACACACACACACACACACACACACACGCACGCACGCACGCACGCACACACACACACACTATTGCGCGCAGTTTTTTTTTCGAAAGCTGGCCACCATCATGTGAAAAGTGATAAAATGCAAGCGAACTTACGTCATACATGGCAGGCGCAAGGTTAAGCGAAAATGTGCAGCAATGACATTGAACATGTATACTATAGCATACCGAAGTTCCACTTCCACTATGCTACGGTCGTGCTGCAAGAAACTATGACCGGTGACGTTTCATCACAGAGCAGGACAAGCACGCGCACGCACACAAGATCCTCGCGTATTTTTCATTACTCGAATAAACGACATTCGCAAAGTAAGCAGAGAACCTCAGTTTATTCGGCTGCCCTAAGTATTACTGAAAGCTGGTCAGAAAAAAAAAAGAAAGAAAAACGGCTTTTATTAAGTGAACTTGAGCCGAAAAAGCGACGAGTAATGGAGTCGTTCCTTTTCGTGCTGTTCATAATCGTGCCTCTGAGAATTCACGCTCTCGGCTATTTCGGGAAGCAGTTTTACGCATAACTCGGAATACGTAAGACATTCGAAGATTCCTCGTCGTTACGAGTCACCCGTGTACACATTTTTTTTCTCGCTTTTTTCTTGTTACTCGCCCGCGATGTCTCGGTTCCGTTTCGATGGGCGCGATAATGGCATTGCTCTGCTTTTGAGCCGGACGCGTCGTATTACGAGTGTTGCGCCAAAAATGCCGCCCGCGAGTACGTGACGTGGATAAGAAGTACGCACGGTGCCATCGCTGAGAAAGGCTGAGCCACGAGTAAGCGAGTGTATGCGACGATGTTTTTTTCCAGCGGATAGGTTTGGGTTGATAATCTTTGGTGCACGTGGCTCCTCGTTCTCTAGCTCGTTACTATGGGCTACACAGACACTATGGCAGACGGCGTTGCGCAATGTCCTCACTATGAACGTTGCTTGCTTGCTTGCTTGCAGTCACACCTCACCTGGTATGTGTGGTGCTAAACTGCTAATAAGTTGTTAGCTCAATAAAATCTGAAGTCATCGTCGTGATGTGAGGGTGACGTATTCAAATATTGAGCAAGGATGAGAGATGGCTACTTTCGAGATATGCGATAGATGAGAGGCTTGAAGGATTGGCACAGTATGTGTTTGTGAGATGTCGCTTCTTAATTATTATTTTGTCGCTGAGAGTGTGCGGTTGCTATAACACGCGGAGCCGTCTGTCGCGAAGCTGAAATCACTTTTATTCGTTCTCCTAATTAGCACCGTAACGGTGCTAATTAGGCAGGTGGAGAGTCAACTCTGTCTGCTCTCCTATATCCGTTGGTTTGAGTTCTCAGAAACGTGTCGTTATTTGTGTTCATTGGTTGCGAACGTGAAAGAATAGGATGCTTAACAAAAAGAATGAGATGTCTGCACTTCCCTAATAGCGAAACCATGCCTGCTTTATATCACACTAGCTTATAAGCAAAACTAACAGCAGTCAGTGACCTTTTCAGTTCATTCCCGTGCACGGACAACACATTGGCGTTACAGTCTCCTACCATTCCACTGACGATTCACATGCTGCCACTTTAGAATGCACTTGCCTGCTTCCAGAGGCACAAGATAGGAACATTCACGTAACAGTGTACATTGGCGTACCATTCAGGGCCATTCTTAAGAATTGTCCGCCCCGGTGGATCAGTGGATACGGTTTTCAGCTGCTGACCTCAAGGTCAAAGGTTCGACCCCGGCCGTCGCATTTTGGTGGAGGCGAAATGATGGAGGCCCATGTAGTGTGCGAAGTCAGAGCACGTCAAAGAACACAGGACGACCGAAATTTCCTGAGCGCTTCACTGTGGCGTCCCTCATAATCATATCGTGGTTTAAGGACCTGAAACCTCGATTATTATTATTATTATTATTATTATTATTATTGTTGTTGTTGTTGTTGTTGTTTTTACGAATTGGTAATGCAAACATTCGTTCTCTTGTATACGACTAGAATACCGTGTGAATCGACGGACACTCAGTCGAAGAGCTTTCTACCGCACTAAGGAAGTAGAAAATGTTATGATGTCTTCGTTACTGTTTTCTTTCTTTTTTTTTCGCACGATACGCGTTAGTTTGTTTTTTTCCTTTCTCGTATTTAAAGGTAAAAGGTTGCATTCGTTATCAGCGTGCGCATCTGGGTTCTGTTGTATTGCGCGTGCGCGTGTAACAAGCTGTCGCCGCGCTGTATAGCAGACTATATACGACGCGGTTAGTGCCGACAGTTGTTACAAGCCACTCTCGCCAGACGCTGGCGAAAGCTCGTTTCTTCCCATCCATCACAAAGCGCCGAGCTTCCTCTGCGGGGTCTGTTAGGCTGTAGCACTAGAGTTTTCGGGCCAAGAAAAACAAACAAAGAGAACTAGAAACATTAGTGCTATTGGTCGTTGTTACAAATGACGCGCGGTTAAGCCGCTGTCAACGTGTACGGAACAATGATTTACCAGCTGCTAACGCGAAAGCAGGTGTTCCATAACTGAATGAGAGAGACAGAAAGCCCTCTCTGTGACATCAACTCAACCATAACTGCTCTTACAGACACGCATGCAACCCCGCTGCCGCTGACGTGGAGCCAAGCCTTGACTCTTGGCAAAATCAGAGCTACAGCCTCGACACCCCACTCTATACAGGACTAAACAGGCAAATAAAAAAAAGAAACGAGGCTGTTATTGCACTTGAGCGATGAATGTCAAAGCAGCTAGGAGGACCGCCAAGGGCCTGGCATCACAGTTTAGGGAAACGCAATTGTTATCAACGCATCATCGTGCATGGTATCTACCGAGGCGCTTTGACGCTGAGAACGCTGCTGGAACCAAGGTTTGCCTTCTGCTGGCTTGGCAGCAGCTGTACCCCTGCTTGTAAACCAAAGAGCGCAGGATATGTTCGCCACACGTCGCGCGAGTTGTCAGACTTGACGACGTCTATAGGCCAGAAGGGTTGTCCAGGGATTCGCCAGACATCGATACAGTCATCGTAACGGCTGTTCAGTCACGATACTAACAGGATAAAGGATTGATTTTGATATAGCGCGTCGTTACCAACCGGTTGCGATGGTCGGCTTTGTTTTGGTCGGAGCAACAAGCTGCTGCCAGCAGTCTTGCGTGGGAGCACGTCTTATTGTTCGCTTGGTTGCTCAGACGCATATATGGTTTTGCGCTCTGATTTTTTTTATAGACTAGTGCACTTTGTATCAAACCACTGTTTCAGTGTTGTTCAACCATCATTTATAGCTACTTAAACCACTTCAATACGTACAACAAAATAAAAGATAGCAAGGAAAAAAGTACACATTTGAGGGCTCGTTGTTCTTTGTTGAACACTCTATTAAGGAGAACTAACAGACAGTGGTACCTATAGGAACAGTTAGGGGACTTTATTAGAAGTTATTGTGAAGTACAGTATTGACCACTGTTAAAGGGAACACTCGAATGCACACCATCAATATTCCTGGCCCTCTAAGAGCAAGTGGATTAAGAAACAATCTTCATACAAGTCAATAGTCTGTTAAGAGGAGTTGAAACTTTTGACCACCAGTAGTCTTATGCATATCTAAGCCGCTATGATTCCGTAAGATAGCTAAATCTAAACATGCTACTGACGCATGTGTTCCCTTTAACAGTGGAGCCGTCTGTACGTACATGTGAATAAAAAAAAGTGGACTAAAAGATAACATATACTGTGGGCAAGGAGTAAACGTGTTGCTTCGAATGACCCGTCCGATGCTCTACAAACAGACCTAAAGCGGCGGTCATCTCTCCGTCCCCTTTATGGGGTGCATATGTTCACCCAAAAGATGTTGATTGAAAAGCTAGCAAGAAGGACATTAACGCAAGCCGCAATTGCAAAAAAAAAAAAAAAAGCCGTTGAGATATCTGCGGCCTATTTTGAACGAGGCTACTTGTTCCAGCGAGGCGTTTCGAGTTTTCAGTATTAACTTTAATGAGGTAGGTAAATAGGGTAGCACACGTGACGAAATAAGACCAATGTCCCCGTAAATTCACTTCTATCTGGAGTACAAACAAGCAGCGAATAGTAGAGGATATGCGTTCGTATCTTTGCGCATGCATCTTGATCGCTACGAGCATCGTCACCTCAAAACATATCGATATATGCTCTGTCTGTATCTTCTACGTTGTCGCAATAAAGGCACACCGATCCCCCAGAGCAGTTCTTAGATGCCTTATTAGCAAGCCTAGATTAAGCCGCACCCATCAATCACAGCTTGCTAAGTATAGCATGCGTGGGAATGCGCTCGTATAAGCGAAGATTTCGAAGCAAGTGATAAGGCGACGTGATACCCACTTTGGCCTGAATTCGACCAAAGATTTTTCAACGGATACGAGATCTAGGTTATCAGCCAAAGCTAGAACGGTCCTTCGTTCATTTCACTGGGTGCCAACGTGGCTCAATAGAAATAGAAAAAGAAAACGGGACAGATGTCAGCCGCTTTTCAAGTGTTTTACGGCTGCTTTCAGCAAGACCACCTGGACCTGAAATAGAAGCTGTAAACTGCTAGCAACCTATGTGGCGGGGAATACTGGAAGCCGGCTTTCGAAGTTGTCGATTCCGGTATCAGCGCTGGGAGGTCGTATACTTATAAGCGTCGGTAGAGGCGAGATCGCATCGGAGAGACTCGCCGCTATTTTTCTGGAGAAAACAGCACGAATGACCATAAAGCTAGATAGAGCTTAGAAAGCGTAATAACAAAACGTGCCGCCTGCTTGCTTGCTTACTAAAGCTAGCTTGTAAAAGTGTGTATAATACTCTGCGTTGGTATATATATATCCTCTCCGGGCACTGCACAGGCCTGTCTAAACTATCGGCCAACTCCCGTGGCGTGCAGGCGTTTATAGTAACTCTCTACGACAACAGCGGGATTCGATCAGCCGCAGATGGGGTACAGATGGCGCTGTGATGTTCTTGCCTTTATCTTCCTGGATAATACTATTCTTTTGTCGTGCAGACAACGCAGAAACATAAACTCCAATCTTAGACAGAACGCCTCCTAGCGAGTTCTGCAAACTTCGCTTTGCTATCGACGACCCCGGCAGAGTTTCGGTCGACTGAAGGAGCTATCGAAGAGCTCTATTGGGTGCGATACCGTGGCGCCCGTTGTGCAGCGTCGTCCGTGTGACGTGCATGCTTGGGTTGCTCCGCCAGCCCTCTACCGCCCGGCTCACGGTCGATTCAACTCCTCCTCCTCCTCCTCCTCCTCCTCCTCCTCCTCCTCCTCTTCTTTCTTCTTCTTCTTCTTCTATTATTATTATTATTATTATTATTATTATTATTATTATTATTATTATTATTATTATTATTCTCATCACTGGGCTTCACATTGACTAAATCAGTGAAATAAAGAAATGGTAAGACGTTCTTCAAAATGACTGACACCACAGTTTAATGCCGGTGTCGTCTGCTACGGCCACCGATATGTATACCATCCACTACAGTCGAGCGCGCTCTCCCCGCCGTGGTGGTCTAGTGGCTAAGGTACTCGGCTGCTGACCCGCAGGGCGCGGGTTCGAATCCCGGCTGCGGCGGCTGCGTTTCCGATGGAGGCGGAAATGTTGTAGGCCCGTGTGCTCAGATTATGGTGCATGTTAAAGAACCCCAGGTGGTCGAAATTTCCGGAGCCCTCCGCTACGGCGTCTCTCATAATCATATGGTGGTTTTGGGACGTTAAACCCCACATATCAATCAGTCGAGCGCGTTGCTTTCACAAACGATGAAAGAACTACCTTGTGTCGAATTTAATTAGCTTTAGCGTGTGCTGTAGGAACAAAGCGACAACATATTTTTTTGCGGCGAGAGATGCGTGTTACGCGATCACCGTGTGACTTCTTTCATTGTGAATGGCATGAAAAAACTTACATTGATCTTAAATTCGCATAGTCTTATATATAAAGCACGATTCAAGCGGCTTAAACGATTTGTGACAAGCAATTTAACGTGCCTATTGAGCTGGATGCCGCCGCCGCCATCTTCCTCAAGTTATCGGAAGCGAACGCACAAGAGCTATGCGCATGCTCACGCCTCATTGAGAGCAGCAGCTAGATAACATTTTAAATGAGCACAATTAGGTTTCTCCGCGCGCGATTTTGATATTTACCAGTTGCATCTTATAGCGCGAATTATCTATGGTTGTTACATGGCGCATTTCAGATCGCCATCGACCTATATCAGGATGAAAATTTTCTCCATGCTGCAGTTGGCATAAAACGGCCCACTTCCATTACAAAAGAAAAAAAAAAATACACGGTACCAATAGGGCTACTTTACAATAGTAAATGCGCCACGTTCGAGCCGGTCGTGTTACGTTGTGCATTTGAATGCACTAACATGTTGCAAAGAGCGACTTGCTGGAGTCTTGGTGGTAATCTTTAAGATAGTAAATGCAGCATGCGCCAGGCAGTCACATTACTTTGGGCATTTGAATGCACTAACATGCTACAAGGGGTCACTAACTGAGGTCTTGATTAAGCGCGAGAAACACATGGTCGAAGCAGAAGAGCATTTGGTAACGATTTGTCAGCTTACAATTCGTTCTATGAGTAAATGCAGTCTTCTCATGTGGTCGCAATGGCGTTTAAAATTCTTTTTTTGGGCGCTGTAGAATGTGAACTAACAAGAAAGAATGGAGTTCGGCAAACTTCGCTTTACTACTGACGACCCCGGCAGAGTTTCGGTCGACTGATGGAGCTATCAAAGAGCTCTATTGGGGGCGATACCGTGGCGCCGTTGGGCAGCGTCGTCCGTGTGACGTGCATGCTTGGGTTGCTCCGCCAGCCCTCTACCGCCCGGCTCACGGTCGCTTCAACACCTCCTCCTCCCCCTCCCGTCATTTATGCGAAATGACGCTAGAAATGAGTGAACTGGTGAAGTCTCCGTATCATGTAAATACCATGATGGCTAGTGTGTCCGCCTTGCCCAGTGGTCTGTACCGCGTTCCACTTTTACGAACCCTACATCAGGAATTCTGTCACTGCTCCAGTACGTGCGTTCTCTATAAACAGAGAGAGCGTATTTCATTGTTTACGAAAAAAATATGTTAAATGGAGCTATTTATTATCGCTATTATTTGATACGCGTACACAAATACGCAAGAACACAGATGAAATACAGATTGAGAGAGATTGCCGACAACTACACCTGGAGGCGTGCAAAAAGAAAAACACACAGGAAAGGAAAATAGAACAAGTTAAAGAGTTAAAGAAACATCAAAGAGAAACGATAAATTAGTTTAGACTGGTAATTTATATTCTGAAGAGTTCAGGATCATTACTTTCACCAAGATTGCTTTATTAATAGATGGGAAAAGTCTATGTTGAGAGATTCAGCTATAACTTTGCCAAAATCTTAGAAGGTTACGTCACAGATTTCTAAGTCGCTTTTATTTCCTCAACTTCTCGGTATCATTCGCTGAACGAAATTTCTTCAAATTCTGCATGCCGATTCGCTTGCTCCCAGGAAGGAGAATGTGCTTCATTTCAACTCATAAGGGACGATCTAGGCCTCATTTGACGACTCCCAAATATATGACGTCACGGCGAGTGGTGCAGCAAGAGCAATTCGGCGTCGCCTCTAGTATTTTCTTCTTGCGTGTTTGCTCGCTTACTAAGTGTCTTCTCACGTAAAATGCGGTGTACTAATATCATGCAAGAGTAATTTACTAATGCAAGTAAAATTGTTTCTCGCTTTAGTGTGCCTTAAAACATGGTAAAAGCATCCACAGCCTCCCACAGGTGATGTTAACATTTCTTTGTTTATTCACAACGCATTTCGCTTCCTACGTACGATCCCAACTTATTGAATACTTTTAATGTGATAGCGTTAAAGAGCTCGGGTCGCAGAAAACCTGCCGCCGGCGTCGGCCCCGTTGGTTGTGAGCGAAAAATCGTATGTGCGTCTGTGACCGAAAAATCAAGTTACCGAGATAGCCACGGGATCGAGGCTGCTATTTGTCCACGCGTGCGCGCGCGATCACACTGGAAAGCCGCGCATTCGAAGACAAAAAAAGTGCTCAAGGTCACGAGGCGCGGTAATTTCTTTGCCCTGCCACCCCTCCCTGCTTAGCTTCTAGCGTTTTGGTCGGGACGAGAGAAGAGATAATGCAATTACAGCATGCGACAAACCTTTGTAACTCCACACGCACTGGACGGATTCTAAAATGTTTGCGGCATTTAATTCGTGAGGCAATAAGCTCTTCCAGTGAATTCATTTCATCGTTACTTAAAAAAGTGTTTCAGGGCCCCTTTAACGCATTTTGTTTAACAGGTGTCACGATGGAAACGAGCCGATTTGGCGATAATATCGTGCGCTGGTCCAGTCTACTGTGTGCGTGTGTGTGCGTGCGTGTGTATGTAACAAAACATACGAATAAGTATGCACTTTTCGTTTGAAGGGTGCACTAGGGACAGGATTTCCCTATCACGTTCAACTATCACGTTCAGCTATCACGTTCAAATTTTTTGAGGAAGGAACTATCGCGTATTTGTCAGTCTGAGCTGTGCGTTTCTTGCGCCTGGCCACTGTGACCGTATCTCTCATCGTCCCAGAACTGGAGGATGTCCGGAGCGCCAACGAGCACTTTCTGCGCATTCGGACGACGGCCCGGTGCCGGGTGCCCCGCACGCGCGTCGTTCACGTCAAGGAGTTCTACTCGGACCCGAGCAAGGAGTACCTGCCCCGGTGCACCATCCTACACCGGTGCGGCGACGACGCCGGATGCTGCGACAGCGAGCAGTACCAGTGTGTGCCCCGGGCAGTGCAGGAGGTCACCCTGCACTTCTACGTGAGTGAGCAGCGACGGTGTCAAACTATATAGTGCAGACACACAATTTCGCCGAGTCGCAGCGCCCCTGTTTGACGTGCATTTGGTGTAGTAAAGTGTGAAGATCGTAAAACGAAAGGTAGTTAAAACTTGATAAGAAAGTTGCACTATAAAAAAGATCAAGAACTTATTCTTGTGGCAGCCGGGTTTTCTTAAATAAATGCAATATAACAGGTACATAGAGTTAGGACACTTAAGCTGTCCAAACATAAGATATTACACTTAGGATACTTCTAACAACAGGCTTTCATGAAACTGATTTGTCATATTTGTTAGAAGCGTCTTTACGAATAAACATCAGTGCTCGTTGCAGGAGGCGTGCGAGCGTGCTAACTGGTAATTGGTGATAAACCCTTTTGCGCGAAAGACAAGTGCTAACAGACATGAGTCATGTATGTTACATTGTACCGTGCGGATATAGCGCTAAACGTCTGTAATCATAAGCTTTATAACATTTTACCAATCACACAGGCAAGGAATGCCGCTGCTCATATATTTTTGGAAATAAATATATTTGAGAGGTATTTATATTACAAACAATTAGACGTACCGACAAAAGTGAAACAGCTCCTGCCACATGTAGCGATTAATTTGAACATTTACTTATTTACTTGTACACATGCTAATGCACTCCTTTCACGAGCACGGTACCAGTAATACATGGTTGGGATTTATTAATACTTTGAGTGACCTGCCTACGTCACTTGTTATGGTCAAGATGCTCGCATTTCGAGAGCGGAATCTCTGAAGAAGCGGCGGAAGTTTCATTTCCTAGCTGTACCACGCGTTTCAACTTTTCATAGTCGAAAAGACAAACGGGCAGAGCAATGTACAACGAAAACACTCTTTTGTAATTTCGCACTGTCCTTGCGCTGTGTCCTGCGCTAAAAGGCTGAGATGAAATACCAGCATGCCAGACCATGCATTATATAATGTTCTGCGTAACATGTGAGACAGGTGACGATAATCGCGGTGAAACGACGAAGAATGCCTCGTTGTAAAATGGAAATCGATACACAAACCAACACGGGTTTCTCTGCGTTTGTGGGTTGTCGATGTCACTAGATTGAGGACAATAGGCCCCAATCGAGCGTCACTGCATTTGCATTTAACGCAGCGATCACGAGTAATGACAAAGTTAGAATAGGTTCTCGCTATCTACAGGCCCTTCAGTCTATGGGACATACCTCTGACATAGTTTTACAAAATGCTCGTTGTAAAATGGAAATCAGTGCACAAACTGACACGAGTTTTTCTAAGTTTGTGGGTTGTTTCACTAGATTGAGGACAATAGGCCACGATCGAGCATCACTTCATTTGCATTTACCGCTGCGATCACGAGTAACGATGAAGTTAGAGTAGGTTCTCGCTCAAGAAAAAGAAAAAAAAGATAAGAAATCTTGCCTGAAACTTGCGCAATCTCACAATTTGGTAAATTGATAATAAATATTGAATGTTGCAAACAAGGTATCCTTCACCTTACTTAATATTTCTATTCACTTCTGAATCGTGCAAAGTAGCAAACTAGGGCTGCATTTTTTTTTCGTTATAGTTAACCAGCCTTCCATCTCTTTCTCTCTCTCTCTCTCTCTCTCTCTCTCTCTCTCTCTCACACACTCAATTCCCCATCGACCTAAAGAGCGCTTCACCAAATGCCACGGCTTTTAAGCAAATGTCACAGCACTTGGTGCCGATCTGTTCGCGCCTTATCGAATCAGCGGCGTCGTCTCACTCGGTGCGCAGACGATCCACCTGCAGAACCAGAACGGCGGCGAGGTGGGCCTCCGAAATTCGGTGACCAAGCTGCTCTTCCCCAACCACACCGAGTGCGAGTGTCAGCCGGTCAACGACATCCCGCGCATGGCGGCGAGGCCCTCGCACATCGCTCACCACTCGGGAGAACACAACAAGGTGTCGCTGCACGCCCCTTCCTCGGAAGACCCCGACTTGGCCGCCGGATCGGGCATGCACGAGGAGCTGCCCTCGGGACCACTCAAGTGAGTATAAGAGCTCTCACTGCACACGGCAAACAGAAGTGTCGCCACCTTCTGACACATTTACGAAATCACGCCTCAGCGCTTCCTCAGTTCCCTTTTTGAGTTGAGTTGGGGAAGAGGGTATGAAGGAAGGCGTGAGGTAGGTAGCAGCAACCTTTAAAAGACAAAAATGTCTCTTCAAGCTGCCATCTTCCTTTACACTTCTACCCCACCCCCCTTTTATTATGTGTACACATAAGGACAGGTTGGAGAGTGGTAAGTTTCCTTTTTGGCCATGGGCCCAAGATTTTTGCTGTCTTATTTGAGTTGAGCTATGTATTTGGAAATAACAAAATTCCCACAATGACTGTTCAGCGTCTGCAGCTATGGCAAAGTCAATAAGGTATAGGGCAAGCAAGGTTCGAAATTTCGTGGCATTTTTCGAAAATGCGGGCTGCTTTAGTAAACAACTGCAATAGTGTGCCGTGTCTTTGTCACCATAGTGAGTGAGAATGAATAAAGCACAACTGTATTTAACTAAGTAGCAGCGGGTTTTTTATGTCTGCCATGTTTTGTTTTTTCTTGTGTCTACCTTTTATGCCTAGTGAAGGACAGCAGCTGCGCTGTTAACATTATACCCACTTAGTGGCTGGTGTGCCACAACAGCTAATTATAGTCAATGTCGCGTCACACGAGACTCACTACGCATAAATTATGCCTGCCTACATTATGGCAACATTGTAGCAAGCTAGAGAAAACGGGTGGACACGCGACTTTCTTCTTCTTTTCTGCACGTTTTTCCTCGAGACCGTTGTCTGCCGGTTTCGCAGTTACCTGTTGCTCACGGAAGTTAGCAGGGTGGATCACCCCCATAAATACGAATCCAGATCGTCTTTTTCCCACTAACAAAAGCCCCTTGCCGAACCATTTTCTTTCACTCCGACCAGGTGCGGCTCCCATAACAAGCCAGCCGTTACTCGCAGCATGTCTTCTGGCTGACGTAATCAACTCCTTCGCTCTACCGAAATGAGAAACGGAAACGGACAGGCCCTTGGCAAATACGATTTCGAAACGACACGTGAAAGCTAGAGGAATACGGGACGGAAGGCATTAGTCACGGGCTACTATAGCCCAATACGCTGCATCGGGTCTTAGCTTCTTGCTTCGTGCAATGGGCTGACTTTTACGCTTTCGTGGTCACTTACTCGTCGCCCACCTATGGGTGCTTAATAAATAGGCCTCAATTACATCGGCTAATGCGGTTCCTGGCAAGGACGCCCCCTGCTTCTTTTTACCTCACGTACGTCGACCTCTCTCCCCTTCTCTTCCTTTAGGGTTCCTGTCTTGTTCGCCTACACGCTTTGCCATCTATACGCGAGGGCGGTCGTGGCTTCGCATTGTTTCGCTGGCCGCAGCACGCGTTCAGCGTATATGCACGCCAACACGTGCGCATCTTGCTGGCGCTCTCGATCAACTCGCGGCGGCGGGTCGTTGCACCGCAGATTGCTCGTGTCCTAACGGTTCCCAACTCTATTTTCCCAAACAGGGGTGGCCCACCGAATTTAGAACGGCCACTTAGGGGGTCTCACGCTCCCCACCTTCCTCCCCCCGAACTGCTGCTTTTGCTGGGCGCACCACCACTGCCACCGCCGCCGCTGCCGCACAACAACAGCAACTACGACTCCGGGCAAGCGCAAAAGAGGCATCGCCGATTAGGTATTCTGGGCGAGGCTCGACCGCGAAGGAAAAGCCGAGCAGTGTGGGGGTGAGTTTGAGGCTTGTCTGCTGCGACAAGATAGATGGCGTCAATATCTATCGGGACCGTGCATCTTCTCGCGGCTTTTTTCGGAAGGACCGCGGTTCCGGGCGCCTCGCGGGATGCGTCGGGCCTGTTGCGGTGGTCGCCCGTTCGGAGGCCTGGCTCCCTGGGCAGGCGGACGACGGATTAGCAGGAAAGCGCTAACGGCCATAACGCTTGGGTTGCAGAATAACAGATTGCGCTTCTTCCCCCGGTGTCGGCGGTCTCGTTGGGCACCCCGCGACCTTTGACAAAACGAATTGGGTGTCACGAAGTCGCTCCGCACATTTTCGCGCCCGCGAATAGAACCCGGACTGGAGCTGAGTATTGGCAGCCTGTTTCCAGAGGACAGCGAAAGCCTGTGAAAGATTATTGATTTAGTTTTCGGTAACATCACGATCCGTACTCATCACACGGGCAACATTCAAATTTTTCGCTCTTGAACCAGGACGTTGGCCATGCCTAGACAGCTACTTTCTATCAGGCCCAAATTCTTCCGCATCGAGGAAATACTAAGCAAGCGCGAAACGTCGCTTCGAAATTAGCTACTGGCTATTCAAGTTTGTACAATGTAAGCACCAGTAGCTGCAGCTAACTTAACCACAATGCGCAGCAACACAGCGATTATGACGATTCCGCAAAAGGTTATGTCCTTGCCAGTGACAGAAAATGGAGCACGGGGACGACCAAGCGAAGCAGAACCTTTGGCAGCATCGCGCAGTGGTCACTGGTAAAGCTGAGGCACGCAGACGTAGACCTGGAAGCTGTTTCGAACTAGCGTTGCGCGTTTTAACACGATAACTCGCACACAGACAAAGCTACATCGACCAAAAAAATGCAGATTTATTGCGCCTGTTTTAAGTCTCACATTCGGTTAAATTGCGAAGAAACGATAACGCACCGGGCCGCCGTAATTCGAGTACAGTTCAGGTTCGCATTCAGGTTCGCTTACACCGAGCAACCAAAAGTATGCTCCTCACGCGCGTATGCACCAAACGGCCTTTTCAAGTTGGTGACGGTGGTGGTGGTGGTGGTGATGGTGAAGGTGGTGGGTATGTGCCATATGTGATTCACAAAAACGCCTCCTTCCGAAAAAAAAAAAGAAAACGCCAAGGAGACTGGTGGAGTGCAATCGATGACTATTGAATACATCAGTGACAGATCCCAAATCCTTTAGATATTTTTAAAACTATAAGGATGGTAGCAGGACGAAGCCACGGCAGAAAAGGGCCGCGTAGCAAATCGGTCTATAGTTGGTATAGCCTCACCTTTAAACAGCGTACACGCACGAAGACACAAGAAAGATTTGACGAAGACCCTAGTGCTGTCGTAAATTTTTCATTGCGTCGTCAAAAAAGTGTCACATGATGCGATTGAGTTTGACACCATCTGCCACGCGCAAATTAACAAGAAGAATATTTCTGCAGCCTTTCTAGTAAAAAAAAATACCATAATCTGCAAAAATAATACAATTTTAAAATAGCGTACGTTAAGTTAGCGTTTATTGCGGTAGCTCATTGTTTCCGTCACTTTACGGGAGAGGTTAGCCTACGGAGCATGCGCAGTGGCGCGAAACACTAACGCCTTCTAAAACTTTTTTGTTATAACGATCGCGAAGCAATGAGCATCTCGTCCTCCTCTTCCGCAACGTGAGCGAATTGAAACAATATAAATGAAATACGAGCAACTTTTCGAGGTGCTCGTTTTTATGTTAGACACAGCGAAATAAGCCCACCTAACAATCATGTCATGCATGGAAAAAAACAGAGAGGGTAATGTTTCGTCAACTTTATTTTATTCCCGTCATAATTATTCTACTCTACAGTCAAACACAACAATTATAGTCTCTATGTATAGGCCTAGTTTTCTATTGAACTCATAACAATAAAACGCAATAGATGACAGCAACATGAAACATAACCGGTGCTATGGTTTGGGATCGAAATTGAGGAATATAGCATTCCCGGCCGTCATTTGTAATCAGTCTGCATTCTTTCCCCTTCTCTATGAAGAAACGCAAGTAAATACTTGAACTGAGTTCAGCGCCAGTCTGTGCTGACTTGGCGCTAATTTGTACCGTCCTTAACAATATTCTTTGCTGGGTTCATAATCCCCAAGTAATCGATAACGCTTGGCCCGCGCGTCAGTGCTCTTTCTCCGTCCTGTGTTGAATCCTTGCAGTATTTAAGATTGCAGTATCCTTTGGAAGCCCCCCAGTCACTGCGACTGCAGATCGCCGATGGCCTGACGTGGGATGCTTGTCACCAGCTGCTGTTTCCTTCCATGCAGGTGTCATAACTGTCCGGAACCGTTCTCACGACGGCAGTACGAAGACGGACGCTGCAGCTGCGACTGTTTCGAGAAGCAAAAGCGATGCCTCAAGATCAAGAGGGGGCGGGAACCGCTCGGAGACCTGGCCCGAAGGCATGTGTCACGCTCCTTAACGTTGCTTACACTTTCGACATCCGCCGGGGTAGTTTAGCGGTTGCGGCGCTTGGGTGCTGAACCGAAGGTCGCATGTTCGATCCCCGCAGTGGCGGTCCCCTTTAGAACGGAGGAGAAATGCTGAAGGCGTGAGTACTGTGTGACGTAAGCGCACGTTAAAGAACAACGTGTGGTCTAAATTTAGAGAGCTCTCCACTACGGCGTCCCTCAATTAAATTGTGATTTTGGGACGTTGAACGTCAGATATTATGATTAGTCTATTCCCACTTCTCCGTATAAAGCCGGGGCGCTAAGTTTTTTTTTATTGTAAAATGTTCAGAGTCTCTGAGAAGTCAGTTTACACGATCTGATCCGTCATTATTATAATCGTTATCACGTTTCATTCTCACCGCAAATATGAAAATGGTGTTACCGGGAGTAATTCATTTCGAAACAGTTCTGATCTTGCAGCAAATTATACGTATAAAGGCTCAACAATGAGTTCTTCTGACAAAAACGTAGTTTAGAACAAGCACACATGCATACGTTCATGCTTATATGAGGAAACTTACTGTGTACCAGTTACGTAAGTACTATTCAGCATACACTTACTTATAATAAATAGCATTATTTTGGCACTATTCCAGATCGTATCAAAACGGAAGATGAAATAAGTAACCAGTAGGGCAATTACCCGTACTTCAAATTTAAGTCCGTAAAGAGAAACAAAGGTGTATATCCCGGCACTAGCTGACTCTTTCATTATATCGCATAATTGGTCGAAAGAAGTATGATTATTGAAACACCGTTCCCTTCGCTGTACACACGCAGTGATGTATACGTATTCCCGTTCACAGTCCCGCGTGCACGCTAACAGGCAGCGGCTCACAGCCTAGCACTGAATCGTGTCGTTACACAACTCAGTGTTGCACGATGCGCCTGATTGCCTTGAGCGTATACCTATAGCGCGATTGTCACTCAGTTCGCGCGCATGTCTATAGCTTGGTATTTCTCCGACGCTTTGATTTTATACGTTACAGTTGAGAGGGGAACGAAACACGAGTACACTCGCTGCACGCAATGGGCGAGTTGTCATCGGTAGTTGCAGTAAAAGGCGAGATGGATAATAGTGAACGTTTAGGCTTAGCTCGGTAGCTTTATCTATTATACACGGGAAGAGAGAATTCGTTTGCATAGAAAATCACTGCCCCGAATCTGGCGAGGTCTGATACGAAAACAAAACAAAGAAATAAAGTAAACCTCTGCAATCACTGAGGGTTTGGGCTGATGCCATCGTGTTTTTCATATACAAAAATTGTTTGGCATCAGGAAATTTTACAGAATGAATTTCTAGAGGTAAGGTGACTGCACAATGGCACGATAAAATAAGAATGTCATCATAAGTTTGTAAAGTCCGCCTCACAATATATATAACAGCGATAGAAATAATGTATTACACACTATATGGAAATGCATGGCTAATATGCGAGTACGATAGGTGTAAAGCCTTCATAACTTATTTATCAAACTTGCGTAAACTTTTAAATTTATAGAAGGAGCTTCCTCTTTTAACACATTCTATCGGAGGCAAATTATAGGACTGCAATAACTATTTCTGATTTTTGCATTACCAATATTTTAAAAACAGAGCACTGACTCTGAAAGGGCTCTTATAAAGCTCAAATTTCGAATACGAGCGAGTTGTGTCTTACTCTCCTTGACTTCCCTTTGTACAGGCGCTATCTCCTACTTATTTTATCATAGAACTGTGAGCAACAAGCGTTGAACTCATCAGGATTTGGCGCTTTTCGCCTGCATGCTGTTATATCCGCTTGAGAAGTCTAAAACGTACAGAACGAGACGAAACCATTTGCCAGGCGTGATGACCTTGGTCAGGCGAGATGAGGCAGAACGGATGTGAGACTGCATGGCGAAGCTGGAGGGGAAGGAGACGACTGTCAGCCACAGCATCCCTCGTACACGCACCAATCGAGAGCTCTTTACATAGTGACGTCTCGTGAACAAACTGCTGGCGCCACGCATTGTGCCGAAAAAACGGCAGCATACCAGGAGAGAATAATGCGCTCATTCTCTGCATTTTCAGACGTTGTTTAGGGGCAATGCAAGGCAGAAGACCAAATGTGCCTGCCTACGGGCACCACGATACAAGTTTTACTCGGAGATTTGATTCAGTAACTTCATTTCGAACAAATCATCTTATTTTTTATTAACTCATTTTTTCGTTTTTGAGTTTATACGAATGGGCAGCAAATAAGTTTGTCTTGATCTAAAGCTTCTTTTGAACAGTAGCCTACACTTGTCGCACTTTACACTGTATACGATGCCATAATATCTAGGAATTTTTCTGCCCCGGTATAAATTTTTTTCCAATGATCGTATAATGCGCACTTCCACTTAAGGCTATTCGCACTTGTCACTGATATACATACTGTGACTGTCTAACGTCACTTTACCGGCATGATTCGTTACGATAAACGCATTTGTGTAACATTGACCCGAGAGCAGTAAAATTGACGGAGGTCATGCACTGTGCTGACATTGAACTGCTGTGCCGCTTTACGTACAAAAATAAAAGAAGAAACGTTACAGGAACGACGTCTGCCGCGACAACTCTCTCAGTGTATAGGGCCTCTGGGAGCGGATTCGGAGGCACGCTTGCAATCATCGCGCGCGCGCCCTCTGTTTGTGTGCTTTGGCATGATGGAAGACGAAGATCCTTATCTCAGCCAGCGGCGACAGGCAGTTGTATATTTCTGATACTAGGGAGCAACGGGCAAAGGAGACCAAACCGCCGAGCGGCTAAAGCTCCCCACTGAAAGGCGTCCGGTGTCTTATAGGGTTTGAACAGTGCAGCTGTTTATGCGCTGCTCGCGGCTAGCCGACGGGTGCAAGGAACCCTTCTACATTGCTAACGAGTTCGGTGTCGTTGACACGAGTAGCGTATGCGGCTGTTATAAGAGTCGACAAACTTGACGTTAAGCCTGCATACAGCACTTCCTGTTAGGCTCGGCGCATACGGTGCATCGCAGAGCTGTATATTCCGTGACATGATCGAATCTACAGCTGCATGCGAGTACTCCGAGTCACGTAGATTAATATATAAACACTTTGAAATCGTTCAGTATGAGTCAAATCATCGAGATAAAACATATTTGGTGCCGATTTGGATTTTTTTCCCTCTAGCTACAATAAGTCAAGCAGCACTGGTAATGCGAAAAACACCGCTAGCGGGACACATTCCGGCCGAACGACCTTGAGGTGTTACATTAATGACGGCTAATAGATATCACTGCAGGTAATATGTACACCTTCGCATCTTTTTTTCTTTAAGTAATAGTTTTCGAGCGGTGCTCACAAGGTAGTGCATAATAGAGCCAATGCGATCATCGATACGACGATCATGTTCACGCCGGTTTTTTGAGCATACGATCGCGCAGACAACACTGACAGGCTGCACCGAAATCTTGATTTGATTGATATGTGGGGTTTAACGTCCCAAAACCACCATGTGATTATGAGAGACGCTGCAGTGGAGGGCTCCGGAAATTTCGACCACCTGGGGTTCTTTAACGTGCACCCAAGTCTGAGTACACGGGCCTACAACATTTCCGCCTCCATCGGAAATGCAGCCACCGCAGCCGGGATTCGAACCTGCGACGTGCGGGTCAGAAGCCGAGTACCTTAGCCACTAGACCACCGCGGCGGGGCGCGCCGAAATCTTTAAATGTAGTATAGAAAACACACAGCAGACAGTGCTCTGATTTGAGTTTGCTATGTGCACATTGCACAGCAGATGTCGTTATTTCTCACTGACATAGATCCTACCGTGTTCGTGGCTCAACACTAGCGCAATATTTTTTTTAAAAGGTGCGCATCCAATGAACTCATATTAATTTCTAAGATGATGATATGTGGAGTTTAACGTCCCAAAACCACCGTACGATCATGAGAGACGCCGTATAGTGGAGGGCTCCGGAAATGTCGACCACCTGGAGTTCTTCAACGTGCACCCAAATCTGAGCACACAAATTTCGGAGATATGATCTGAACTCTGTGCCTCTTGCGCGAAATCACGATGCTTTCACTGCTACCACAGATATACCATTGACCAATCAAGCGGAATTGAACGCATTTAAGAATTCGCCGCGTGTAAACAGGTGTGTTCGGAGTCTTGGCGTCGTTTCACACCACGCTCGCTGTTTCCTCAAACATTTTGTTCGAGCAAGCCAACGCGTTCGAACAGCTTACGCGTTTTCACAACGTTGACGGAATTTCATCGAGTCGCCCAGGCTATTTATTCGAGCTGACAATCGTAATTTACATCAGTGAATTTCTACCGTAATCTTGTTTTGACGTTGGCAGTTGACTGATTCACAGCCGTCGTGCGTGGTATCAGTTTTGTTAGTGAGGGAATTTATGTTGAATGGTACAAAATGTCCATTTTATGTACCTAATGCAGCTTAATGTCGAACGACGATGAAAGATGCAAGACGAAGCCCATAAACGTTCTGGTAAACATTGCCCAAGCTGCTTTAACGGAAAAGAAAACACGGGAAAATACGACGAGATTTCCATATGTACAGCCCCAAAAAAATCACACGATTGTGGATTAAACATGTCTATATTTAACTGGGATAGTGCTAGCGCGTTTTCTGCCCAAGTTCACTATCCGTCTTTCCCATGAAATTCTTCATACTGAGCTATTCAAAATGTGGATTGAAAACCGGCATCGCGCAGGTGAATTCATTCTCTACACACATTTTATACGCTTGGTGCTCTGCACATGTGGCACGCTGCGTCTGTGCTAAGCATTGTTACATCTTCTGGAGAATGCTGTGGAACAAAAAAAAAAAAACATCTTTACAACAACGGAAGCGCTCATGCGATGCTTGTGTAATGACACGAAGCGATATCTGTAGCTACTCGTGGAATGTAATGACTGTTGAGCAGCGGATAGCACGTGCTCACGTAAAAATACCCGAGAAGGTATGCAAATGGAGTATTAAATTCAAAGAAAATAATTTCTCGATACGTCATACAATGCGAAGTTGGTTTTGGTCGCATGCACCGTCCGCACACGTGTGTGCTCACGTCTATAGACGAAATGCACTATGGTGTGAAACATGTACGTAATACAGGTGCCGCGAGGCAATCCGCTTGCGTGAATTACCGGACCTGTTTGGCGTCAACTACTCTGGTTCATTAAGTGTAATTAACATGACTGACAACGTCGTATCCCATGGTTGACTCGGCCCATGTACGAGACCACTACACATCGGCCTCGTAAGTAAAACAATGTGCCCAAGTGAGATACAAATTGAAAACTTTTATGTCGTATTCGCACGTATTGGGTTTGCTCGTAGCAGTGTTCTTTAGTGTGAATATGACTGCTGTAATAACTACGTGCACGCATGCTCGTGTTTGCGTGTATACGTGTCAGTGCACCATCTCCCTTTGCACACATAGAAAGGCGGTGGAAGAGGAGGGGAGGGCGCAAGGTTGCCTGAAGTAGTCCCGACACCTGGTACAGCTTGTATGCACTCATTTATGAGTAAGAAGTAAAAAAAAAGATAACTTTCGTGAAGCGCGCGAAGTCAAGAGAGGGCAATACGGTGGACAAACACGACCCCTAACTATCAACGAATGATTTGTTTGAAAATACGCGGAAATTAATGTTCGATTCAAATGCACACGTGGTTAGTCTAAGTATCTTGTAAACTGAGTAATCAAGCTCCTTATTCGACCAGTAATCAGATGAGATGTTGATTGAAATGCTGTATAACCGATTAATGTGTGCCCGTTCTGCTTATCTAGTCCCCTTCGCACCTTAACCAAAAACATTGATGCACGCGCCCGTGAGTGTGTTAATACGTGGTTGCGTTGTGGTATACCTCGACGTTATCACGTGCATTGCAACCCAGGCGCCTTGCGCCTGTCATAGTAATAGTAACTGTGTGCTTAACGTCCCAAACCCACCGTGTAATAATGGTAGACGCCGTAGTGAAGGCACTGAGTGGAGGATTCCGGAAATTTTTGACCACCCAGGGATTCTCTAACGTGCACCTAAATTTAGGTACGCTGCCCCGCCGCGGTGATCTAGTGGCTAAGGTACTCGGCTGCTGACCCGCAATCCCGGCTGCGGCGGCTGCATTTTCGATGGAGGCAAAAATGCTGTAGACCCGTGTGCTCAGATTTGGGTGCACGTTAAAGAACCCCAAGTGGTCGAAATTTTGGGAGCCCTCCACTACGGTGTCTCTCATAATCATATGGTGGTTTTAGGACGTTAAACCCCACATGTCAATCAATTTGAGTAAGCTGGCCTCTAGCATTTGCGCCTTCATCTAAAATATGCCTGCCGCGGCTGGGATTCGATGCAACTGATGCGTGAGCGGGCTCGTGTCAAGAAAGTGTTTCCCGGGCCTCTGTGATCCCAATTCCTTATTCCAGCCTGTGTCGTGTAACTAAGCGAGCTTCATCCACCGTCACCTGTGCAGGTGCGTCGAGACGCAAGACTGTCACGTACCCGAGTGCGAGTACGGATTGTACGACGTGGACTCGGGCCGCTGCCCCAAGCGACCGGACTACTGGCCCAAGCACGTTGCCGACCGGAAAGTTCACCCGCATTCCCACAGATGGCAGTTCTTCGAGCGCGACTGAGCACCACGACCGCGTCTCCGCCGCTGCTGCCGCCGCCGTTATCACTTGTTTCGTTGTTTCTTTTTCGCTCGCTGCGTATCGCCCACGTCTGCTGGCAACAATAGTGCAAGCGCTTGCGGTAGCCCAGCGACCACCGGGCATTCCAGTCTTGACCAAAACCGACGCCCCGTGTCGCCTTCGTCGCAGCTCTCGCCTGCCCAGCAGAGCTGCTTCGCTTTGAACTTTGAACTCTGGATAGACGAAGGAAGCGGACGCAAGGCGCGCCGAGGGAGAGACGGAGGAGAGTGTGCTGGGCGAATAGTTGTGGAACTTGTTTGTTTCTGTGCGTGTGTGCGCGTGTATGATTTTTTTTTGTTTGTCTGCGCCATGCCGGTGACTGTTATCATCGTCTGTTTAGTGTATGTACGTTTCGCGTCTCCTTTCTTTCGTTATTTAAGGTTTCCGCTCTGACTCGAGCGAGCTCGCATAGCTCCCGTGTACCCCGCTCACGTGCTGGTACACTCGCGTACAGAAACTTCAACACATCGACACCACATACAAAACGACAGACGTTCTTGGTGCACGTACGTGACATGAAGGTGTTGCTTTTTCTTTCCTTTATTTTATGTTTGTCTCTTCCCGCTGGCGTGCTCTCGCTGTTGTGCATAGCCAACCATGGCAATACGGTGATTCACGTCACTAGCTAGAGACTTTACTTCTGTTTCTCTTAATATCGTAGCAGGTGGTACACTGAAAAGAGAAAAGATAAAGTAAAGAAAAACGGCAAGCCAGAATGGTTAATTTCTAAAAGCGACGGCTCGTTTCTGTTTCCCAGTTCACGTGCACGTCCCAATCTTCTCCCGTGTTAAAGTTGAGCTTTACTAGCTCAGTATATTGACTGTCAATACGTTGGAGTATATACAACTTTCTGATTCGTACGACATATGCATGAGCCGTGTGTTAAAACTACAGGCTTTGCCACTGATATTTAACACTTACACGTTAGTTTGCTGTTACAATGCAATAACATGTTGCAATGTCGAGGCAGCCTTGTTAACGCTTGCTTCCAAGCTCTCCCTTACGCTGTTACACTTGGCCTCGCTGAAACTGTTACGCAGTTAAACTTGTTACAAATCGATGCCATCCTCTGTACGTTGCGTCATGTTGGGAATTCCTGCACTGTTTACCTGCAAACTGTAGTCTTACACTTTTACCCTGCATATCGCTGTTGTTGTGTTTGCGCACACGCATGATAACGTATTACAATGCACAGACCAAGTGTGTGTGTGTTTGCCTAATGACTAAAGCTAACTCACTGCCTCCTTTTTGTACTTTTCATACCCACTGATGCAAACGAATGAAAAATGGCATCTTTCCTATCATTGTTTAAATACCGCTGAGAATACCTCTACACGAGAAGGGTCGATTTCCTTCTAGCTGAATGCGGTTTAGTCACCCTGTGCAGCAAAGTGTTAGTAGTACAATACCTTAGATGAAAACGTGTTGTGCTTAACGATCCGCGATTGCTTAGAAGTTCATGTTTCTGTATAGTAGTCTATTGCAATGGTGTTTCCTGAAGCCTTCTCTAGCTGTACTTTGATGCTGGTCAACCATTAGCTCCATATATAACATATGTCCGTCAGTGGACTCCTTATCTGCAACGCGTTAGAGATGAAATATTGTAGCGTTGTCGTTTTAACTTTAGCTGGCGCAGAAAAGCTGCAGTTGCATCTAGAATTCGTGCGACATCGCGCGGTGAGAAACACTACCGCCGTTGTAGCTGATACTATCTTGTCATAGATCTATAGATACGACAGCACTCTTTATGAGCAAAAGCACAAACTATATCACGCAGTATGCTAGGCTAGCGTTTTTTTATCTATTGTTATTTCAACTCAGATGACAAACTGCGCCCTTTATTCCTTCAGCTCATGAGGCAGGCTCTCCGTGAAAGTGTCAAATTTTTCAAACAACCTTGTTCAAGAGGTGCAGTGGCACAATGTTCACTATAGGCCATGCCGATGTTCTTATACATGCGAGATGTAACGTGCACATTCATTGTTTGAAATAAACGCGTTGTGGCTGCGTTCACATCGGAGTTCAGTCATATTCCTGGTGCCTTTCGTTTCTGCCGCGCATTGCTTAGATGTTACACTGATGTGCGCTCTTGGATTTCCAGTGCCCAGTCGCAAAGCCAACTCGTTTCACGTGCCCGCTTTGCGTTCTGGCGCAAATGTTGCATAGGGCCTTCTTGTGTGCAAATAGTGAATTTTAGAACCGAACACGAATCGAGTACTATTCGAATAGTATAAGGCGACGATTCTCAAAGCTTGGTTTAGCCTACTAAGGTGGCAATTAAAAAAAATCAGCCTAAGAATTTCACAGCATTTTATCTGAAGCAAGTATTTCCAAGCTCTAATAAAGGATCATTATGATTACTTTAACAAACAAAATACTGCCATGATGTAAACTGAGCAGCAGCTAGAGGCTTCTAAATATTTTGTAGCTGCAGGCTGAAATATAGCAGTGGCTACAGTATTGAATGTGGTACTTTGTCAACAGCTTTTGAATAAAACTCGTAGATAAATATCAAGCAATCGTCAAGAGTTAACACCAGCGTGACTTTCACAGTGAAGATAGTAGATTGCGGACACAGTTGGTAAAACGACACTGCAGTTTCAAAGATATGGCGTCGATATCATATTATAATATTCCGATCCAATCCAAGTTCAAAATTATTTTCGCATTGCCCAAAGCCCTAGACAGTGCACTGTAAATACGAACATATGGAACCAGAGAAAAAAGCTGCGTTTGCGCCACTTGTCTAGGCTCTGGTCCCCCATAGAGCATATTCACAATACCGCATCAATAGTGCCGTAAGTACATGGGCTGCATGCATCGGGTAATCCGATGATGAAAACAAGAAAAATCTCCCATTCACTGTTCCCACTTTTTATTTCTCGAGTGGTTCTTCGTCGCTGCAGATTATTCGAAAACTATTCGAGAAATGTTCAGTAATTCGAATATGCGCTATTCGTTTGGAGTACCCCATCGAATAGAACGCTATTCGGTTCGTTACACCATGAGACCGAACACTTCCGACGCCGTTATTGAAAATTTTCGGACATGTGCACACGTTTCTTTATTACGCGACTGTCATCGTATCTCAGCCAATAAGCAAGATACGCAGCTAAAAAAAAGAACGTGTGTCCACAAGAATGCAGCCCACAAACAGAGCTGCTTCTAGGGCCCGTTGTTGCGTGTATGAGTGTATGAATGTGCGCCTGCACGAGGGCATGCCAAGTTGCTCCAAGTCTCTTCAATATGACAAGTTACCGACTAGTCAAAAAGCAAGTTCCAACCAGAAAGTTGGATAACTATAAATTTCATGATGGTGTAGTAGAACGCTAATTTCGTGGCAGGTATACTTTTGGTGGACAATTTTTCAGGTTGCCTATTTCTCTGCAACACAGGAAAGGAAGGATGGGAATGAACAGCGAACAATCCAGCAATATTGCTCAATATGAGTTACTATGTATTTCATATTAGGTGGAAATACCATGAAAAGTATTCGACTATGTGCACAGTAGGATGGGTATATATTGTTACGGATAAGACGCGACGCCGTATCGGCGAGGGTGTGGAAGATATTTACTTAAAACCAGCAGTAATGGCGTGACCGGCCACGCTTCGTCCTCTTTTTCAGGCACACACGCGCATCGTCCCACAAAATTTCAACATACATGTAGCATAAACCGCGGCGGCAGAAGCACCGTCTCGGCGCATCTAGATTTCAACGTCAGCGCGAGAGTGGTAAGGCTTCCAGCGCGCCACATGTGCGATATCGGTGGTGTGTGAGGCAGTTGAAAGCGATGGGGCGGAATGGGCAATCTCGTATGTCACAGGAGTAATTTCACGAAGGACTCGACATGGACCTGTATAGCGGGAAAGAAGTTTTTCCGACAAGCCGACTCGACGGGTTGGGGACCACAGCAGCACCAATGAACCGGGTAAGAAATGCACGTCGCGGTGCCGTTGATCGTACAAACGTCGCTGGTTGTCTTGAGAGGCCAGAAAGTCAGTGCGGGCGATTTCACGTGCGTGGGCAGCCCGAGTGATAGCGTCAAGGGCATATTCGCTGTTCGTTGTCGCGGTAGACGGAATGACTGTATCTAAGGGTAATGTAGGTTCTCGGCCGAACAACAGAAAAAATGGTGAGTAAGCGGCAGTGTCATGGCGAGAAGAATTGTTGGCAAATGTGACGTACGAGATGCCAGTCAGTATGGTTGGTAGAAACATACTTAGCGATCATGTCTGTAAGAGTTCAATTTAGACGCTCCGTGAGTCTATTGGTTTGCGGGTGGTATGACGTAGTCAGCTTGTGTCTCGTTTGACAGGACAGCAAGATGTCGGCCTATGACCTTCGACAAAAAGGTGCGGCCACGGTCTGTAAGCAGCTGCCGTGGGGCTCCGTGTTGCAAAATCACGTCCTTGAGGAGGAAGTCGGCGACGTACTGTGGCGCAGCTTGTTGGAAGAGCTCGTGTGATGGCATAACGCGTGGCGTAGTCGGTGGCCACGGCTATCCACTTGTTACCCAAGGAAGACAAGGGGAAAGGGCCAAGTAGGTCCAAGCCAACGCGGAAGAACGGTTCTGATGAAATGTCAAGTAGTTGACGGCATCCTGGCGGGAAGTGTCGATGATGTTTTGCGGCGCTGGCATTTCTCACAAGCCGCGACGTATCTTCTGACTGAGCGTGCAATCCCTGGCCAAAAGAAGCGTCGGCGTATTCGGTCGTAAGTGCGTGACACACTAAGGTGACCAAGAGTTGGAAGGTCATGAAGTTTATGTAGAACTTTCGAGCGAAGGTGTTTCGGAAGGACAAGCAGCAGGGCCGGTCCATCCGGCTCAAACTTTGGCGGTATAATACACCTTCGTGGAGCACCAATGAGCGATGGGACTGATTGGAAGATGGTGATTCGAGGCGCTCAATCATAGCACGCAAAGACGCATCATGGCGCTGCTCGTCACTGATGCATGTCATTTGCGGAAGGGAAAAGACGCAAGGCTCGGTGTCGGTGTCAGGCATAGAGCTCGACTCAGCAACCGGGTAGCGGGACAGGAAGTCTGCGTCCTGATGTAGGCGTCCGGACTTGTACGTCACCATGTAGGTGTACTCTTGCAGTCGCAGAGTCCAGCGCCCGAGCCAGTCAGTAGGATCCTTCAGTGACGAAAGCCAACATAGTGCATGGTGGTCCGTTATTAAAGAGAAACTCGTGCCATATAAATATGGGCGGAACTTCGCGACTGCCCAAACAAGAGCAAGACATTCACGCTCTGTTATTGAATAGTTGTGCTCGGCAGCTGTGAGAAGGCGGCTAGCGCGGGCGATGACTCGTTCGTGTCCCCGCTGGCGTTGAGCTAGGACGGCTCCAATCCCGTGACCACTCGCATCGGTTTTGGCTTCTGTCGGAGCGGACGGGTCAAAGTGGGCCAATATAGGTGGAGCCGTGAGGAGGGTGATGAGTTGAGAAAAAGCGGCAGCTTGAGCGGAACCCCACGTAAAAGTCGCGTCTTCCTTCGGAAGGTCGGTGAGTGGTCGAGCGATCATTGCAAAATCTTTCACGAACCTTCTAAAATAGGAACAAAGTCCCGCAAAGCTCCGGATGTTCTTGACAGACTGTTGTACAGGAAAGCTCGTGACGGCACGAATTTTCTCTGAGTTAGGCTGCACACCTGATGCGTCGACAAGGTGGCCCAACACCGTAATCTGCTGGCGGCCAAAGTGACAGTTTGACGAGTTTAGTTGAAGGCCAGCAGTGCGGAAGATGTCGAGAACGCTGACCGACGCTGGAGGTGTGTCTCAAATGTAGGCGAATATAGAAGGGCATCATCCAGGTAGCACAGACATGTTGACCACTTGAACCCTTGCAATAGCGAGTCCATCATACGCTCAAACGTGGCTGGGGCGTTCCATAGCTTAAACGGCATCACCTTGAATTGGTATAGGCCATCGGGAGTTACAAACGCAGTCTTTTCTTGGTCTTTATCGTCCACCGCAATCTGCCAATAGCCAGAACGTAGGTCGATTGAAGAAAAGTATCGCACGCCGTGAAGACAATCGAGGGCGACATCTATTCGGGGCAAAGGATAAACGTCCTTTTTTGTGATTCGATTAAGATGGCGGTAATCAACGCAGAAGCGCCACGTGTCATCTTTCTTTTTAACTGGCACAACAGGAGATGCCCAAGGGCTTGAGGAAGGTTCAATATTTCATTTGGCTAGCATCTTGTTGACTTCTGCTTGAATTACCTTACGCTCCGTGGCAGACATCCGGTATGGTCGGCGATGAATGGGAGGAGAATCAGCTGTATTAATGCGGTGCCTCACGAGGGAAGTCTTACCGAGTGGACTGCTGTCGATGTCAAATATGTCACGGTAGGAATCCAGAAGGCGGAATAGAGCGTCGGACTGTTCAGGTTTGAGTTCCGGGTCGATCATGGGGCGCAAGGCCACATCGAGGGATGTGGCATCCTGCGGGCGACATAGAAGATTGAAGCATGCGTCTGCCACACAAGCGGTGACGTGGGCTTCTATTAAGGGACGAAGCGTGGTGACTGACATACCGTGTGGTAGTACTCACTGCGTGAAACCAAAATTTATAATTGGCAGACATGTTCGGTTAGAGGCCATGGTTACGACGGAGTGTGGCACAGTGATGTCGCGCACAAGGAGAACATCAAGAATAGGCGTGACGACATAATCACCGCCAACAACGAGTGAACTTGTTGCCAATTCAATGAATTTGAGGGCTTTTGGCGGTATCCGACTAAAGTCTGTGGTACAGAGGCTTTTCGGCAGCTCGGGGCGAGAATCTGGAAGAAGAGGAAGTTCTAAACAGAGAGTGCCGGCGGAACAGTTGATCAGGGCAAAATGCATCGATAAAAAGTCCACCCCGAAGATGAGGTCATGAGGGCAATTGTCGAGCACGGTAAATAAAACAGGAACATAGCGGCCGGCAAGGCTAATACGTGCGGTACACATTCCAATGACGGGCGCAGTTGCACCATCGGCGACACGGACGGCTTGTGTTGCGTAGGCGTGAGTACT